AAGAGAGGAAGATGGGCAGTGACTTGGGGGCTCATCCTGCGAGCAATGCTTAGGAGGTCTGGGAATGATTGGGGTAGGGGAGAGAAGTGTAAAGAGATGGATGAAGATGACTGTAATCAAATATTGGGTGTGCTCCAAGGAAGTGGAATTTTCCTTGGTCTGTAGGGCTCTAGAGGGTGGATCCAGGATCAAAGGAGTCAAGATTCAGAAAACCAGTTTCAATTTCATGGGCGGAGACGGGCGCAACAAGAGAGGGCTCTAGCTGAAGAGCTCCAGCTAGAGCACTTCAAGAAAGAGTGATTTTCCTGACCCCAGTGTGTTCAAGCAGAGAGGAGTCCTTGGTCGACAGACCTGGGATACTGTGGAGGGCTCAGGCTTGCTCATATGTCATGCCTTTGCCATGGCTGTAATTTTGGGGGAAGGTGTGTGCTTAGCTTGTGCAGCACCCTGGATTCAGTCCCCAGAACTAGTACATGAATGCAGGGGCTGGAGAGATGGCTCAGTGGTTAAGAGCACTGGCTGATCTTCCAGAGGTTCCAAGTTCAATTCCTAGCTCCCACAGAGCAGCTCACAACCATCTATAACATGTCCCATGGGATCCAATGCCCTCCTCAGATATGCAGAAAGACTTGCAGACAAACTTGTAGACAAAAAAAAACCCATAGACATAAAATACACAAATAAATAAACATATACTTACATACATACATGCATATGTACATACGTCCCTGATAATCTGTAGGCTATATTCTCCTTGACACCTAGAAGCCTCTTCTGTTTGGTGGTTACTCTGGGGCTCTTGTTTACATTGGTCTATAGTCACTTTCTTTCATCTGGTCCATACCCTAGCAGCTTAGTGGTAGATAGCCCTTAGGCAAGATGGCAGATACTAGCACAGACAGGCCATCTAGTGAAATATTTCACTCTCGACCTAGAAAGCCCACTGAAGCTGCTCCACAAACTCCTGCTTCTAGCCTGTGTGACCTTGGTCCAGTCACAAGTTCCCAGGGCTCCTTTTCCCTCTTCTGTAACCCAGGGAGAGTGACCCCCCCCCCCCCCCCCACTTCACAAAGCTGTTGTGAAGATCAAGAGTGAAAATGCATGAGCGAAAAAAAAAATTCTCTCACATATTGGAGAAGGAAATGGTCGCCCTTTGATGGCTCTCTCTTCATGACCCTGAACTGTGGCAGCTTCACATGGTCTGTCCTTCAGCTTACCACCTACTGTTTACATCTTACTGTCTGCCTTTCCCCAAAGCAACGGCACAATAGCTGGAAGGTCAGAACAGCGTGCCTGGTGTGTGCTATTGGTACATCACATGAAACCTTCCCTAAATGAGTAACGGCGTTTCCTAAACAGAGTTTCTCTGTCCAGAGTCGAGTATTTTAATATTTCCCTCAAGCCCTTAAGCTTCTACTGTTTGCCCTTACATCTTCTCTCTTTGATCTTCAACCTGGAATCAAGAACATAAGTCAGTGTCTGCCTGCCACCTTTCTCTCCTTTCTCCTTACAACACATGCACACACTCGCGCGTGGTTCCCGGCCTTCCATTACATACTGGTCTCCAAGGTAGAGGCCAGGCCAGACCTCGTCGGCATGGTTACAGGCTGTCTTGCCCGTGTAGAGGAGCCTCTCCAACTCAAAGACGTTGAGGAAGGGATGGTGAACAGGTGGCATCTCCTCCAGGCTTCCTCGGGTACGAACAGGGGACCTTGAGCTGCCTCGGGAGAATCGGGCCATAAAAGTCATGGAGGCCCACAGCCCGTTACCGGGGCACATCTTCAAGGGGGCAGGAACTAGGGCCGCTGTGGGGTGGCTTCAGCGATGATGGCCTCGGCGGCCAGGTAGCTGTTGCTGGAAGGAAAAGGGTGCCAGGCACACTTGAGTGGAGTTCGGAACAGCTGTTTTCTTTCCTTCCCACAGGGCTGGGCCCTTAGGGGGTTTGGGGCGCTCGGGGGTGGTTTGGGGTGGGCACATTCTTAGCTGAGAGAAGGCAAGGCTAGCCCGGGAGCTCAATTGCCTCTTTTCTCAAGCTGCTGTGGGTCCTTCCAGTAAGCTCTGGCTCTGGCACACCAGGAGGTGGGAGTCACATGTTCTTGTTTACGGGAAGAAGAAGCTGCTCAGCTGATGGGTTTCTCCTCCGTCGCCCCACCCCCACTGCCAGCAAACACCGAATTGCACAGACACACACACACTGGACACTTTGGTGTGTCTACACCCTACCAGGACACTTGCCAGCCTAAATCTGGGTCTCATCTGCCTGGGGTTATAGAGGGGAGAGTCTAGGAAGCTGGGGTGGGGATGGAGGTGGCTGGAGAGCCATCCAGAGAGAATCATCAGGACGATAACAGCAGCTGGGACCATGACATATGCCAGATATGTCTCCTGGGTGCCAGAGAGATGAAGTACCTTAACCCATCCCTGCCCTGCCTGTCTCAAAGAAAAGCTTGTCATGGGGAAAGATATTGGGAGGGTGAGAGAAAGGAATGGTTAAAAAGAGGAAAAAGTGAGTTTGGGAAGATATTTGCTGAATGTAAGAGCCGATGGAAGAAGGCTTCAATCTATGCACTCAAGTCCGTGAGTGGGAGGAGCACCTCCCCTGACTGAACCTCAGCTCGAAGGAGATGATTCTGAGTCAAAGCAGGGTTGGAGCTTTGTGTCTGTGTCTGGTGGGGGGGTGGGGTAGAAGTGGGAGACGAAAGGGGAGAAAGTGGGGTGGGGAGAATGAGGGATCCTGCAGGCCCAGGCACAGCCTGGAGGTTCATCATCGTCGTCTTTTGTTACTGCTGGAATCAATTGACCCTGCACGGCACACGGAGCAGGCTCAGCTCTAAGGGGCCTAGCAGGTGCGCCTCAGAGTACCTGTGGAGAGCAGGAGCTTGGGAAACTGGGTTCCTGCTTTGACTCTCACAGCTGGAAGAGACTGCCTTTGAGGCTAGGACATTTGGGCAGGCAGACAACTGTGGAAGACACCGTGTCTTCACTTCCAGTTATGGTCCTGCAGGTTTGGAAGGGTGGGCTGACCTGCAGCCTTCCCTCCCATTCCCTCGGCTGCTGTCTCTCTTAGGGGCCTCAGCTGAATGTCTAGCCATAAGAAGCCATCTTGGCCCACGGTCACACAGTGATCCCATCCCACCCTCTCAGCCAGGCACAGCTCTCCCATCTCCCAGGGGCAAGAGACACCAGTGTCTCAGAACATACCACAAACAGGGACAGTGGGATCGCGACTAGCAAACGACCACGAATCCTTCTTCAGGAGTTCAGGGACAGAAAGGGTTTCAACGGTTTGTTTAGAAGAAGCACAGAAATCTAGCACTACAGCCGATCACCACCTCCACCACCACCATCACTACCCCTCAGCACCTACCTCTCCTCCTGGGGCTCAAAGACCCATCCTCTCCACCCAGCAACCGTTTCCAGAATAGATTCTGCTGCCTAAGGGATGATGGAGGAAGAGCAGAAGCAGGGAGCCGCTGTCCTCGGAACTGTTCCTCCTGGCGTAGAGGAGCCTGGCTCAGTCAGGAATACACCTCTGGGCCTTTTCCAACGCCGTTAACCCGCCACCAGAGGCCCCGACCGCGGCCCCCCTCCCTCCGTCTGCTGTCGCGGTAGTAACAGGTTCGTGGCTGTCGCCTTAGCCCTGTGCCAACCCAGACAGCCCGGCGCAGCGGGGAAGCGAGGCGCAGCGAGGCGCCGCCAGGCGCGCGGCAATGCCCTTAGGCTCTTGCGGGTCCCGACTCCCGTCCCCTCGCCCACACGTCCCTACCTCTTTGTCGTGAGGGTCTCAGATCCCGAGGTGGTCTGCGGGCTCCCGCAGCCCGCTGCCCATGGCTTCCTCGCGGCCCCCGCCGCTGCGCCGCCGCCCTGGCGCGCAGGTGGATCGCAGCTATTTTTAAGCCGTGACACGCACACGCACTTCGAAGCAGGTCCCTATCTGTGCGGGCGCCCGGTGACATCCAGGGACACAGTCTCTCGCAGCGGTGGGAGCCGACACAGCACAGCGACAACAGCCCGCCCCTGTTTACAGCCCCCGCGCAGGCCCTCGGCCCTCCCTTGTGTGCACGCCTTCCCAGGCAGGGTCTTCACACTGCTCGCTCTTCCCAGACAGAATTAATGAATTTCAGATGGCCTGCCCCACTCATCTCTACACTCTAGAGAACAGTCCTCAGCTGCCTTTACTATGAATAGCGTTTACCGTATGCCAAACGCTTCACCTGTCTTCGGGAATTCTATACTCACCAGGGATGTACACGGCAGACATCTTCATCTACATTTTACAAAAGGAAGAGAGCCCAAGCCCAGGTCACCAGCTGGGTATTGGTAGAGCAGAGCTTCCCACACAAGGAGTACGCACCTTGGGGTTCCTTCAGAAAGCCATTTCTGCATATTTAGGACTCCACTTAGCCCCCAAAGAAGTGTCTTTATTTCTTTCTCACACGCTGGCTTTTAGTGATAGTTACTGTCACCTGCTTCTTTATGATCAGCGCCAAGATTTTAAGCATTCTGAATCAAGGTTGGTTCTAACTCTCTTAAGTGCTTCCCTTACTGTCTTAGTTAGGATTTCTATTGCTTCAATAGAACACCATGAACAAAAAGCGAGTTGGAGAGGAAAGGACTTATTTGGCTTACATTTGCCACAGAGACTCCAACAGGACATGGCAGAGGCCATGGAGGGGTGTTCTTTACTGTATTGTTCATTATGGCTTGCTCAGCCTGCTTTCTTACCAAATCCAGCACCACCAGCCCAGGGATGGCACCACCCGCCGTGGGCTGGGCCTGTCTCATTAATTACTAAATAAGAAAATGCTCCACAGGCTTGCCTAGAGGCATTTTCTCAGTCGAGGTTCCTTCCTTTCAGATGACTTTAGGCTATGCCAAGTTGACGCAAAACCAGCCAGCACACTGCATGGAGGGACCCAGGCTGGGGAGCCAGCATGAATGTGTGACACGATGGTCCTGGTGAGAAGCAGGAGAGCTCCAGCTGCCTATTGGAAGGAAGGCAGGAGGCAAGTAAGCAGAGGCATGGCAGTTATGATATAAAGGTGATGTTGACTGTGGCTGAGATTGGGAGCTGGAACCTCCCCAGCTGTGACAATGGATGAGGCTGTAGTCTATGGGCCAAGGGAAGCATCATCAGCCACACTAGCAACCACCCCAAGTCCTGGGGACAGTCAGGGACCTCCATAGGCTGCTCCTTGACCTGGCAGTAACTTTACCTTCTTGCCTTTTCTTCTGTAAAGAAGCAGACTTCCATTCCAACTCCCTTCATCTCTCCTAGTCCCTTTTTGGCATGTCATTGTCCATAGAGATGAGATCCTCATTGTCTGAAATAATTGACCTGAGAAGTCTGAGGGTTTGGTTATTAGATCTAGGAGAACATTTCAACCGTTATCCAGAAATAAGCTGAGAAAGGGCACTTAATTTCAGAGGTGGAGGGGGGAAGATCAGGATTTCAAGGCTAGCCTCTGTTATATTGTGATTTTGATGTCAGCCTGGGCTACAAGAAACCTTGCTTTAACAAAAGAGATAAACAAACAAACAAGCCTAGGCATATAGCTCAGGAGGTAGAGAGTTTGCCTGGCATACATAGAATCCAAACATTCAGTAGGATCAGAAGTTTAAGGGGTTCTTTTGGCTCCTTAGGAAGTTAGAGGCTGGCAGGTGAAGAGGTTGTTGTGGGTGAAGTTGTCCTCAATTTTGTTGTTGTTGCTTGTTCTGATACTGGCTGCCTTGAACCTGACAGCTTCCAGTCTCATCCTCCAAGCGCTGGAATTACAGGTATGTACCACCGTGCCCAGCTCCCCCTGACTCCTGGTTTTTAATTTGTTTTACAAGATTTCTGTTTCAACCTTACATTGCACTTTTCTCTACAATATGCTTCAAGGCACATCACAGATAATCTGGGATCTGGTGCTCCAAGCCACCAGAGAAGCTCTTCATGGACCAGCATCTCCATGAAGGTGATTTTCATGAGTCAACCCAAATGGGTTGGTGATTTTCCGTGTAAGTGGAGGGTCTGTGATACTCGTGGGTAAAACCAAACTATGCAAAGAGTGGAGAGGAGGAAGGAAATGGGGGAGGTGGGATTAGCAAGGAAAGCTAATGGAGAAGGTAGGATGAAGAAAGAGAGGCAGGAAAGAGAAGCAACATGAGTCATGTGTCAGTTCCTTGGGCTCCACATGCAGCAGCTCATTTAATCCCGCCCCCATTTTAAACTGCTCTAACCCTTGGTGAATACTCCAGGAGACTGACTGAAATCCGTTGTAACCCATTCTCACAAAGTTGGTCCCAGACACAGGTTCAAACCTACAACCATCTTACTCTAAACTATCCCTTTTCAAGACTAGACAGAAGAACCAGTTTATTTTTGGGAAGGGGGAGCTTTTCTGGATCTGCTCTATTCATGATTTCCTTGGTTCATATATATTTCTATTAAAGAATATAGGTTTAATGTGCCTAAGCCCCTGTCCCTCGTAATAGAGGTTATGAATGAGTATATGAACAGAATAAAGGTGAAATAGAGACAGCTGAAAGAGGGGTGTTGGCTCGGCCAGGAGTGGTGGCTCCCATTTGTAAGGTGGAGGTAGGAGCATGAGGTAGTCAAAATCACCCTCAGCTACACAATAAGCCTTATGCTAGCCTTGACAATGAGACCTTGTGTTCAAAAATCCCCAGTCCTGGGACAGATAGAGAACATAATTTTAAAAGCGAATTGAAACAAACATTTCTCCTGCCAGCATACTTAAATATTATGTATAGAATGAGTAGACTTAAAATAAGAGTAGACTTAAAAAAACAACAACACTCACATAAAGGCACATGATCAAATGTATGTTAAATGGTAACTGTTGCTGCAATTGTTTGACTATAGGTGTAGCTTAACATACACTAGCAAAGTCAAGCCTTTAAATGATATTAATTCTGTTTTGCAATTGAGGAAAGGGGTCCTTAGGGTCATAAGGGGGTCCTTGTGGTCATAAGTATACTCTGAAAGCACGAGCTGAGTGCGGTTTGAGCATAGACTTAATAAACCCAGGGCCGTTTTAAACGAAAGTTGGCCTCAAACAATTGTATCAATAGAAAACAGAACAGCAGTAGTTAACTGTGTCGTGCTATGCTTTTAGCAAACTGCGAATTTCTGTTAAGAACTTGGCGGCTTTCCTAGGTAAGGGATGTAAAGCTTGGTGCTCTCGTGGAGCCTCTACCAGCAGGAACAGGGGTTGTCTTGGACCCTGTTGCTTGCATTTGGATCCCTTTTGCCTTGTCTAGCCTCAGTGGAGGATGCTCTTAAGTTCTACTACAACTTAATATGCCAAGGCAGGTTGATATTGGTGGGAGATCTCCCCTTCCCTGGGGAGAAACGGGGGTGTGGGGGAGGGCAGGTGAGTGGGAGGGACTGCGAGGCGAGGAGGGAGGGCAAGTTCCGACTGGGATGTAAAAGAAATAAATAACTTCATGGGAGAAAAAAGTAAACACAAGAAGAAAAGAATAAAAGAAAAGAAGGTGGAGGCTTTCAGTCATTTTCTAGCTTCCAGTTTAGTCTAGTCTTGGGTGTGGCTGCATCTGCGCGGCGCGGAGGCCCCTAAGCCACTGAGTTCAGAGAAAACTCTCTGGCCCGCCCCTCTCCAAACCACGCCCTAACCACGCCCCGCCCATCTTTTTCCTGTGAAGCCTGGAATTGCTGCAGCTTCGAAGGGCACTTTCACCTAAAAAAGTCAAAGCCGGTTTTGCATCACCCCTCTTTCCTTCTTTCTCAGCCTCTCCCCGTCTTTCCTTCCTTCTCAACCTTGCCTGTGCATTCCTTCTCCTCCTCCAGCTGATCCCCCAGCTTACCACTGGGGATATTGACTTTCTAAAGACCAAACACTCGTTCAAAGAGCGTTTTCCTATTAGCATGCCTTTGCGAGAAAAGATTCCCGTGCTTCTAGCAGAAATCAACCAGGGCTATCGTTTGCAAATACAACAGCGTCAAAGGCTATGAAGCAAACCGACCCCAGCATTAAGAAAAAGGAAAAACAGGTATTATAAGCGTTGTGGAAAATACGGAAAGGAAGTATGCCAAATACAGGAAGAGTTAAGGTCTAACCAGATTGGAGTTACAGAATTAATCTTATTTTGTGTCTTTGAACTACAATCCCAAAATTCAGTCCACAGTTTGTACTCAGTTTTAATTGTCAGTTTTATGAAATTGCTTGAGACTGCCGTGGTAAGTTCATGCCTGATCAGTATTAATAAACGCTTGAAAAGAATATGTGTGTTTATACACATAAAATACAATTTAATTTTGGATCTCTATCATATCTCCCTTCCATATGAGAATTCAAAGTATGAATCTTTTTATTTTTTGTTTGGGAGAGCGTTACCATCTGGAGGTCTTGGTCAGGCTGGTTTTCTCTGCCAATTAAATAATCAAGATACAGAAAGTAGTAGCTGGCAATAAGCTAGTGGTTCTCAACCTTTGGGTTGTGACCCCTTTAGAAGTTGGAAGATCCTTTTACAGGGGTGGGTGAAGACCACCAGAAATATCAAATGTCCACATTATGCTTGATAACAGTAGCAAAATCATAGTTATGAAGTAGCAATGAAAATAAGGAACTGTATTAAAGGCTGAGTGTGTGTGTGTGTGTGTGTGTGTGTGTGTGTGTGAGTGCTTTGTCTGCATGTTTGTATGTACACTATATATATGCAGGGCCCTTGGAGGCCAGAAGAATGTATTATGTGGGTTGTAGGAAGTAAACCTCGATCTTCTACAAGAACAGCAAGTGCTCTTTATCAGTGAGCTGTTGCTCCATCCCTTAGAATTAGATTAAACCTTTTCATTTTAGGTGTGTGTTTTGCTGGTATGAATATTTGTATACAGTGTTCATGCATGGTGCCAGTGAAGGCCAAAAGGGGGTGTTGAAAACCCTGGAACTGGAATTATGATGATGATTAAGATGAAATGAGTTAGCATGTGGGTGTTGGAAACTGAACCTGGTTCTTTGGAAAAGCAGTCAGCGCTCTTAACTGCTTAGTCATCCCTAGAATTAGATGGTTAAAACAAACCTTAGTTCCTTAGTTTCTGTGGCAGTTGACTTTACCAGTAGCAATGTAACAGTGTTATTTGTCTTGGCCTGTTCCTGGTCCTTTTCTCATTCAACCTTTACAGATAAGTTCACTGGGGAATACTATGGGTCCTAAAATAAACCCAAACTAGCCCAGGAGGCTGAGTTGTTTAGATTTCTTCCCAGACCAAGAGTTTGAGGAGAAGTTTTGCTCCAAGTTACTTCTGTTATAAAACTTTTAAGAAGAATGCCCCTCTATGCCTTGCTTATTTTCTGAGAATCTAGTTCTAGAAACTTTTTCTTCCT